TGTGTCCTGGAGAAGGTCACGAGCTCACGGCCAGGAGATGGTAATTTTTTCTTTATTTTGAATAAATGCAAGGAAGCCGGGCTCGGTCGGGGCATCCGCAGGGTGTCAGGCACACCAGACCCACAGACAGAAGAGGGCTCCCCCCGCGCCTTCTTCTGAAATGCGATTGCAAACACAAGCACTAACTTGGTGCCTGGGCAGCAGAGAACAGGTACTGACCTCGCAGCCTGGTTAGTGCAATTCCCGAGGAAGGAGACACCAGCAGCACGCTCCACGGAGATGTTTCACCATCTCTCGGGGCTGACGGGGTGCGGTCAGACACCCCCGTGACGCATCCACAGCAGCCAGGTCACAGCGCAGGGAGAGCACAACGCTCCAGGGGCCGGAGCAGCCCCCCAGCCCCTGGGTGACACCAGATCAGGCCGGAGCTCAGCGCCGGCTCCTGGGAACCCACCGGAGCAGGAGCCATGAGCCAAACAGGGCAGGGTTTCACACAACCATTGACTTCCCAGTTCCTGATGGAGACCCTGATTCAACATCTCGGGAGATGCGAAAGGTGGCCCACAGCAATGATGTCAGCTATTTCAGAATAAAGCCCATTTTGGGGGACCGCTGTCTGTCTGTCTCTGTACTGTCAACAGCTCTGATGTGATCGGAGTATTTTACTTAAGAGGATGGGAAGATGAGCCCATTTCTTTATGGCAAGTGCGTCCACGGGGGAGGAGGAGACCGTGGAGTCACAGGAGTCTTGCAGCGGCGCTGGGGTCCCACACTTGCAGCCTCCAGGGCAGCTGGGGCTCAGCAGATGCTCTGATCCAGCACCCGGCACAGGACGGCAGCCCCGGAGCATCCCACCTCCGCAGGCACCGCCCGGCCGGGCCACATCCTGCTGCTCACGGCTCTGCGGAGCACCGGGACCCGCGCCGAGTCGCACGGGGGCTATCGTGTGACCTGTGGGCAGAGGAGGAGAGTGGGGCAGGCGCCTGCTGATGGAAACGCTCAACCCGCTTGCAGCGGGCGAGTCCCCCAACGCGTCCGGGTGAGTCCCCCGCCTGCAAACGGTCAGCGAGCAGCCTCGGGAGACCCAAACCCGGTTTGCTCTTTGCGTTCATTTAACGAGGTGGTTGTTTCAGATTTCACCGTACGGATCGTTTGTGAACCCCCTGCTCTGGCTACAGCTCCCGCGGGGGGTCTTGTCTCCAGCAGGGATGGGCAAACCCAGCCCCCTCGGCACGGCTCCTAACAGGGCGCCCAGAGTCCCCAACACACGCCTGTGTTTCCAAACCGCCGCCTCCCGAGGGGAGGGCAAGGGACCCAAAAAGGGGCGCCAGGAGGACGGCCACAGAGGTCGGGGCTGCTGGGGTCCTCCAGATGGAACGGTCCTCAGGGAGAGCCGAGGACAGCAAAGCCAGAGCAGAGGCTTTGGGCTAAGTTAGGACTGGGGGGAAATAACCAGACAATATCAAGATGGGAAAAAGACAATGAGCTAAATGTAGTGCTGCAGTTACTGGTCAGCGATGGATGCCCAGGGCCAGAGGAACCTCCTTGGAAGTCCATAAAAAACACTTAAGCATGAAAGCGCTTTCTGCGCACAAAAATAATAACAATAACGAAAAAAATCCCAACATCACTTAATACGATAATTTTATGGCAGGGGATGTGGGGTGAGAAAAACCAAAGCATAAGGAATAATTACACTCAACAGTATGAACAATGATTACAAAATTATGCAACTGATTAACCATGGCATATATGTAATTACTAATGAGTTTGATAAAATTTTAATTATACCTTGTTCTTTGGGGCATTCAGCAAGCCATGAAAATAATAATCATGTAGCACTCTGTCACAGATGATTGCCTCAGACAGGGGAGCACTGACGGATTCAGGGCTGTGCTGCTGGGCTGGGACAAGCAACCTGCTGCCCCGGAGCACCGGGGAGATGCTGGGGAGCGGCCAGGATGGGCTGGTACAGAAACATCCCTGGGATGTCTGCACCCAGGCTGAGCCACGCGACACCCTCCTGGCCAAGCCTCCCCGCAGGAGTTACCCACCAGCAAAGCCGTGGGACCCACTCGGGGCTTGTGCTACCCCCGCCGGCCCCTCCAGCACCGGTGACAACAGCCCAGACCCTCTGCTCTGCTTCAGGGCACCCGTAACAAACGGCGCGTGCCCTGGGGAAGCCGGAGCTCTCCCCTTCCCCTGCGGACTCTTCGGGGACGCTTCCCCAGGTTTCACTTGCCCCAGGCTGGGGAAAGCACGGCCAGGCTTCCCCCCAGCACCCTGCCTGGGGACATACCTTGGTCGTCTTCACTTTGTTGCCGCTACTGCAGCTCCAGCCCGAGAGGTCGGGCAGCACCTTGCACTCCTCCCCGTCGAGGCACGGCTCCATCTGGCACCACCACTTCTGCAGCACGATGGAGGCTGGGGGAGAGGAGGGCGTCAGCGGCGGGGCTGCCGCACAGGCTGCGGAGGGGGCCAGCCCTGCCCGCCTTGGGGGGCGGCAAGAGGCACAGCCCGCGTTTGCAGCGACCCTGCCAAGGAGCCGCTCATCGCCGGCCTGGTCTCACTCGACCCAACCGCTTCACCTGCCTCCGAAACACCCTGTTTTCTCTCAGTACCCCAGGTAAAAAGCCTGGTGACAGCCCTGCCCTCGCTCCCAGCCAGAGCAGGGAGAGCAGAGTTCAATAACCCACTTCAGGCTCTGCTAACAGAGGCAAAGGGACTGTCTGCTGCCACTCTGTTCTGTGAGGCTCTTGTAATTTACACCTCCAGTGGGGGTAAGCAGAGCGAGCTCCCCCGTGTTTGGGAACGACAACAGACACAAGCTCTTTTGGGACCTCAAAACCCTTCCCTGACAATTCGTCCTGGCGTTTCCTGGCGCCGCACACAGACGCACTCAGAGGACACCGGCTGTCAGGAGAATCGGTACCGCGCTGGCAGAGGCTCCACCTGCCCCTGCCAGCTCTTTGGCAACGCCACGTGACGCCATTCGATAAAATATACATGGCTTGAGCCTTGCTTAGTGCTCCTCGCAGGTGACGGTGCTGCATGGCTGGAGTCACGTCCCTGCCCCCCGCTGCAGCAGCACAGTGAGCAGATGTGCAGGGATCGATGCTGCAGCGCCCGGCCCCAGCCACAGCACCGTAACCCACCCGGGGCACACAGCCCAGGGCTGCACTGAGCGGGGTGACACAGCCACATCAACGGAGAGTGTCCCCAAAATGCTCCCTTGTCCCCTCTGCCCCTGGGTAGGTCTCCTCTATTCATCCCAGAGGCGCAGAAACCCCACACCAGCCTGACCCACTGGGAAGACACAGTTGGGGGTCGCAGGGGACCCAGCTTGCAGCCACTGGGTACTCACCATCCACGCAGGAGGGAGCTGCCCGTGTGGTCCCTGCCACCTGCCCCGGGAAGCAGGAGCATTTCACCGTCTGGGAGCGCTCCTCGATCTTGTTCTTATTGCAGCACCGGTGAGCTGCAATGACTTCGCACGTGCCGGGCTCGACGTGCACTGCGGGAGGAGAAACAGCCACCGTCAGGTGAGACTGTGCCCCAGAGCCCCAAGGCCACCCCGCTGCTCACTGCCCCGGTGTGTGCCGCGACCGAGGCACCGGGAGCAGGCAGCACCGGGAGCGGGCAGCGCCGTCCCAGCCTCCGGCAATCGCCCCAGGGCAGCTCGGCCCAGCATCTCCGCAGCCCGCCCGCAGGGAGAAGCACTCGTCCTGCTCCAGACCTCCTGCATCCGAGCTCTTACTCCTAACAGTCCTCACCCCCGTCCTACCCAGCAAAATTAATCGCCTCTGGCCGCGGCCAAGCCAAGAGCTTTATTGAAGCAAACGAGCACTTCAGTTAATTGCAGCTGATAACGAGATGCACACTCTGCTACAGGAGGGGATGGTGCCTCGTGATGCCTTTGGCTTCAAAGAGAGTACCACCGCCTCCGGCCCCAGCCAAAACCAGCGCTCCGTCACACACCACCCGTTGGCTGGAGGAGGGAGGACCAGGAGGGCATTTCCACAGAAACGTCACAGGGTTCATCAGAAACCTGGCTGCTCTGCTGCTCCCCCTCCCAGCGCCACTGAAATATTAAGGAAGAAGGAAAACTAATGTGTTGGCTTATCACCTCTGGGATCCGGCTGCAGAAGCGAGTCAGCATTGCAGATCCATGACTTTTGCGGGGTGACAGCCCACACAAGCACAACGCAAACCAGCCAAACGGGGCGGGATCGACTCCATGCCCATGACCCAGTGAGCGGCGATCCCTGTGGGTCCCGTTTAATGAGCACGAGAGGAGCGAGCGCAGAGCCACGCACGGAGACATCCCCTGGGGCACCGGGAACAGGCTTTTATTTCCCCAGGGCCGGGAGACAAAAGGGCAGGACGCGAGGAGCCACCCCAGGACCCGCTCCCCAGTGGTGGCACCAGCCCGGGCCAGGGCAGAGACGCCCACGGCTCTGCAGAAAGGCCACGTCCCAACATGGGCACTGACAACATGGCTCGTCCCTTGCAGCCTGCTCCATCGGGGAGCTGTGGCCGGGAGCCACATGCCCCCATGCCCTGTACCCACCAGCACAGAGGCAGGACAGGCCATGCAATTACCATGGCTTTAATTTGGCTTTATTTATTGTTATTTCATGGTCATTTTCCTTTAATGAACCATCACTTTCATTTCTGCCCATAATAATTACACAATTACCTACCCTGGAAGTATTCTGTAATAGCATCTCTGGCCATAAATTTCATCCTCCCTTTTAAATGCCATCATAATTCAGCTTTAATGATAATTTCCATTCTTTTTGTATGCAGAAATGGTAGACTTTGGTGAAAGTGAGATGGAAAGCAACTCATTACAGAACAAACGTGATTGTTTTGCCCTGTTTTTATGGATAATGGGATTTTTCAAATAATCTGAGGAATAAGCAAAGGTCCTCGGCTTTGGCTGGCTGTGAACCCACATTCCCACCGTGCTCCAGTCCAGAACCACGAGGAGTCACTCACCCACCCTGCACACCCCAACACAGCCTCCCTCCCCCCAACAGGAGATTTCATACCCTCCAACTTCAGCACTCACACGTAGCTGTGGTTTTGACTCCCTTCTACAAAAGCCTCCCCACAAACCTTCATTAGCAGAGCTCTCCCCAGGAGGAAGGGCCACCCGACCCCTCTGCTCCCTCTCGCTTCTGCTCTCCGACTTCTCATTTTCAGCTCATTTAAAAATTTTCAGCAGAGGGAGAGCCAGGCAGAACTGAGAAATCGCTCATTACAGCCATGCAATAAGAGCGCACTAACACACCGAAGCCCTTTTAATTTGCTCAACAAGGTGCAGCACGGAGATAAAGAAAAATTCACCTCCCCTCCGCCTCGCCGCAGCTGGCTGAGCTCGGTGGCACCGCAGTGCCGGACCCGCAGCCTTGGAGCCCACGGGCACCGGCCGTGTCCCCGACAGCGACACCGAGGAACCCCGGCCGTGCCGGCAGACTGCAGGTGTGCAGACACAAGGAAGGTTCTCACCAGGACAGACGGACACAGCCCAGCCCCAGCCTGCCCCTTGGCCCCAGCTGCCTGGGCACGCCAGGCAGGGAAGGCAAAACCCCTGGCAGCTGGGAGATGCTCTCTGCTCCAGCCCTGCCCGAGCCGGTGCAGACCCCTCCAGCCACCAGCCCCAGCCCCGGCAGCAGGGCACGGTGCGTCCCCTCGCAGCAGAGCTGCGGGCTGCCTTTGGGCACGGGGATCAGCCCCACGGGGAGCAGGGCAAGAGCCACCCTGCTGGCTGCAAAGCCTCTCAGCTCCTCACACGCAGACAGATTCACCCGCTTTCCTGCCCCTCGACCGCAGGCAGCATGGACCACAGCCGGCGTGGGTACCACGGACCCCAACATCTGAGCGAGCTCAGGAGTTTGGGGGGTGTAAGTGGAGGCAGGTAAACCCCTCTGCGTCAGACAGCGATTCCCAGGACGTTGGCACGAGGCTCTGCAGTTTCCTTGCTGCAGAGGAGACGAGCAGCCCCATGCCAAGGGCTGCTCAGCAGAGCGGTGCCCAGGGGCTGCCCGGCCGTGGGCAAGCGGCTCCTTGCCACACCGGGCTTCCACGCCACACGCCTGGGAAGAGCGAGCAGAGAACCTGAGCGCGGGGAGAGCGACAGGCTCCCCCAGAGCTCCCTGCAGCTGATTCTCCTTCTGCTGAGCAGCAGGAAACTTCGAACCAGATAGGACTGAAAATGCAAATCAGATGGATGGTGTGTTTAACACTGAGAGCAGGAAACCCCCAGAGAGCCTGGGATAAGTTCCAGAGCTTCTGGCACGCTTCTCCCTCCCATTTAACTGGTATTTCCCCACTGGAACCCTTTTTAAAAAAACCTTATCTCATGGAACCATAAAAGCATTGTAGGAGCACAAGGCTTTTGAATCCTGCATGCAAAAATAAAATAAAACCCCTGTCCTACTCTGGCTGACCTTTAAGTGAACAGCAGAACATGGGGTTTTATGGCATAACCTGAAATGACACATTTTGTATGTCTCAGGGAGGCGTGGGCACAGCTCCACCTATTCAGTGTAAAATATTGCTCTGCTTGCTGGTGGAGAGATGTAAAATGAAGAGAATTTGAACACATGCAACTGCCAGGCAATGCCCAAACCCTCTGCCTCAAAACTCCTTCCTCCCGGGCACTGAAACGCCATTAAAGGGGTCCGGGTGAGCTGCAGAGGGGTGAGCAGCACAGCAGAGACAGGCAGAAGCCAGGAGGGAGGCAGAGGGCCCAGTTCCCAGCAGGGAGCAGGGCTGGGGGCTCAGTGGGCTCTGCTCAGAGACAGCACAGCCCCAGGGCACCGGGAACGGGCAGCTCGGGGGCAGACCCGGGCAGGCAGTGGCGTGAGTGATCTGTACACCGTGCTCTGCAACAACTCTACTACTAATATTCACTAAATAATTAAAGTCTTAAAATCACTACTGCCTTAGATGCATGCATTATTTAAGAGGGTTTTGGAGAGAAGCAGGCTTGTTTTTATTGCTCATTATCACTGCATGTCAGTTGGGATATTTTACTATCTTGTCACCTCAAGACTCCACATCATGCTCTACCCCCTTTTGTTGCATGTGTGAGCGTGCACGTCCATGAACTGCTCGTGCAAACCCCATCACTTCACACCTGCAAGCGGAAAACCGAATGCCTGGAGGGTGTTGAGAACGGCTGAAAGTGTTCTGCCACCGACGAACCTGCCCGGGCACCCTGCGGCCAGGGGATACAGCTCCCGCCACACAACCCGCCCTGCTCCCCAGCACCGAGCGGTGCTTCCCACACACCCCGCGCTGCACCCGCCTCATCTAGAGAAGGGGGCTTAGAAAAATAGTCCATCTTGACGTAAAGGCTGCATGTGACGGAGGAACCAACACTTCCCCGAGCAGGAGGGAATCTTGCAGAAGCGTCTCACAAATAAATACCATAGAGCTGCCGTCTTCACTCCGAGCAGCGACACGCTGACCAGTAAATCTCGCTTACAAGATAATCAGAAATCAGTGCTCTGCTCTCCGTTCGGAGAACCTCATTTCCCAAAAGCAAATCCCAGCTGACAATGCCTTTACTGCTGCTCCGGGTTGAGTGATGAATGTGGATGAAGGCAAAGATGGCACTTTGATTATCAGCATTAGGGGGGTTTATCTGAAGATGCTGGGGCCACCTTTGCGGGAGCGGTATCCAGACAAGCCTCCTTCATCACGTAGAGCTCACCACGTTACACGGGGGATTAAATTGCTGGTGAATCATTCTTCACCGAGGAGTCTCCCATTCCATTTCCAAATGACTTAATCTCCGCACTTGATTCATGTGGCTATTTAAATCCCACCGCACACCCCAGGAAGCACCGCTCTGCTCGGCACATCAGCACTCCTGGGGTGCTGGGGGAGCACAAGCGATTAGACTTTATGTCCGCAGCCAGACGTTCACAGCACAGCGTTTCCCTGGACGGCTAACGGAGGGTCTGCACACGGGTTCGCTGTTCAAGACATCCATAAGTTTGGGGGCTCTGAAACCTTGTGGCCACATTGTCACAATTAAAGACCTTCCTTTGCTATTGCTCGTTTTTAGGTGCCACACCTGGTTTTAACTGCAAATAAGCGCAATGCTCTGAACGGCTGAAAGCTGTGGACGTGTCTGTCCTTTCATGCACACAACCCATCAGCATCTCTGAGTCG